AAGAGAAAATGGGTGGAAGAGGGTTTTTTTGCTCTGATTTGGCACAGGGTACCCTGTCTCCCTTGTTTATATAGGGAGCTGGGAAATGAGTAAAGTGGAGTGGTGTTTTTAAAAGGTAGCCAAGAGAAAGAAAGCTTCTAGGTCTTAGTAATGCTGGACACAAGCATAAATTGGGAGGGGAGTGGCTGGAGAGCAGCTCTTCAGAGAGGGGTCCAGGTGGCTGGTTGACAGCTGCTCAGTGTGGGCGTGCCCTGGCAGCCTAGAGGACAAACCCCATCGCAGGGTGCATCAGGCACAGCATGACAGCCCTCAGAGGAGTTGATTGCCCTGCTATGTGCAGTGATGGTGTGGCCTCACCTGGGGTACCGTGTGCAGTTCTGCAGTAAAGAAGGATGTGAAGGTACTCAAATGTATCCAGAGGAGGGCAATGAAGCTGGGGAAAGGGCTGAAAGACATGTCCTCTGAGGAGCAGCTCAAAACTTTGGGTTTATCTAGTTTGGAGAAAAGAAGGCTGACCTCATTGCTCTCTACAGCTTCCTGAGGAGGGGAAGTGGAAAGGTGAGGTGCTGATCTCTCTTCCCTGTAATCCAGTGATAGGACACATGGAAATAGTTCAAAGCTTCACCAGAAGAGGTTTAGATGGCACATTAGGAAGCATTTCTTTACTGAGAGGGTGATCAAACACCAGAACAGTCTTCCTAGAAAGGTGGCTGATGCCCCAAGCGTGTCAATGTTTTAAGAGGCATTTGGACGATGCCCTTAATAACGTACTTTATCTTTTGGTCAGCCCTGCAGTAGTCAGGCAGTTGGACTAGATGATGATTGTAGGTCCCTTCCAACTGAAAACAATTCCAGCTATCCACATCTCTACCCTTCCTTCTCTACCTTTCTCTCCTCAGAATTCTTCCCTAAGAGCTCCTAATTAAGATTTCATTCTGAAGTCTTGCATTTCAGCTACCCCAAGGCCAATCAGAATCATAGAGGTTATATGTGTGCTAGGGATTATAGTGCCTGCATCTGTCAAAGTTCATGTTAAAACACTTCCTCTGTTTTTATCCATGCGCATTTAGGATGGGAAAAGGGAATTTAGGGGAAAAGTAACAAATAAAAAAAAAGGTACTTTAATTTTACACAGAGATGGTTCCGAGCAAAAATGCAACGGAAGAGATTTCTAAGAGATTATCAAAGAATCATTCTATTACAATGTGCCATTCGAGGCTGGCTGAACCACAGACATGATGCAGCAACCATAATCCAGCGAAATGTGCAAAAATTCCTTGCTTGCAGACGTAGGAGAAAATTTGCAGTTGGAATAATTAAATTTCAGGTAAATACCTCTTGTAAGAGTACTTTTGTACTTCTTATTTTTATTTTCTGATTTTTCTCTCATGGGTTTTTGGGGAGAGGAAAAATGTTTACTTTGGTTGATGAATTTATCAGTTAAATTGCAAGCCAAGTTAGCTTTTGTTTAGACATGAAAGCTAAAGGCAAACAGTTTAAGTAATATTAAGCAGATACTGGTTGCAGTGACTTTGGTGGGAATGTGTGTGGAGTGTATATAAAGGGGATTTTTTTGCCTTTTGTCTTAAAAGTCCAGTAATTCAACGATTAAACACTGAGTGGTAATTGCGTAAATTTTAATGCCCAAGATCATTCAAATACTTTATCAGACTTGTGTAAAACTGATTTGAAGTGGTAATGGAAATTCTCTGGTATTGTGTCTTGCTTATAACTTTTTTTGGGGGGGGAAATTCCTTTTTTGTAGGCATTGTGGAGAGGATATTCTTGGAGAAAGACTAATGATACAGCAAAAACTAAAGCTTTAAGACGCAGTTTAGAAAAGGCTAATGAAAAGAGCAGAGAAGAAAACAAATTGTGTAACAGAACTGCAACTGCAATTGAATACCTTCTAAAATACAAACATCTCTCTTACATTCTTGCAGCATTAAAGCATCTTGGTCAGTATTTTTTCTTATTATAACTGATAGATTTCCAGGATGATAGGCACTAGAACTTTTCAGCTGAGAAGACTTCATAATGATATTTAGGCTTTCTGCATGATTCTAAAATGTGAACATGTTCAAGACTATAATGGGGGCTTTTTCCAGACTGAAATTAGATTATTTATTTCAGAACAATATTTAAATGGCTATGTAGAAAAGGAAATCCTGTATGATTGCTCTAATTTCCTGTCAGTCCTAGTAATGCTATACCTGACATAAGTTTATTATTATGTTTACTATCAGTGTATGTTTTCTGTGGATCATTTTGTCTGCATAGTTTTTAGTCTGGAATATCAAAACTTTTGATTTAGAAATACTTGTTTAAATCAATAAGTGCAGTTTTTACTTCTTTGCACTTCTACTTAAAAATAGATGCAATTGGTTTGCAATTAAATTGCTTGAACTTCAGAGTTTTCTTTACTTTTTTTTTTCCCTTTAATTGTCATAGAGGTGGCTACCAGGTTGTCCTCACTGTGTTGTGAAAATATGGCCCAGAGCAGAGCAATCTTCAGTATTTTTGTTCTGATTCGAAGTTGCAACCGGAGTGTTCCATGCATGGATGTGATCAGATATTCAGTCCAGGTTCTACTTAATGTTTCAAAGGTAACTTTAATATTTTCTTTTGTAGGATTATAAGCAGTAGGCTTATTTATTGTAGTACTTGGGAAAGGTACCTTCTTATAACCTGTTACAATTGTGTAACATACAGAAGTAATTTTTATTGTTTGGATGCCAGATTAACTACAAATTTATTCTAGGGGAGAATATGGACTTTGCTTTTTTCTTTAACCTCTAACTATTAACTTCTAAGAAGATGTTTTAGAGGTCTGTCTATATAAGTTTTCTTGTCTCTTTCTTATATAACAGTATGAAAGAACTACTCAAGCAGTTTATGATGCAGAAAATTCTATAGATACTTTACTAGACCTCCTGCAAATGTACAGAGGGAAAGCTGGGGACAAAGTTTCAGAGAAAGGAGGAAGCATTTTCACAAAGACCTGTTGTTTGTTGGCCATCCTTTCAAAGGACTCAAAAAGAGCTTTGGTAAGACTTAAATGCTTTGAGTTTAATGGTTTGATTTAACATGCTTTTCCTACATATTTTTGGTGGTATTTGTAATTTTTTTTCTTTCCCTCTCTGCCATACCTATTAGGGCTATTATAACTAAACTCTGGTTTAAAAAAAAAAAAGGCTTTTCCAAGATGGTGAAAACACTCATATTTTCTTGATTTGTGAAGCTGCTTTTGAACTTGTAGTAGTAACTGTGTGCTATTTACTCTCTTCTCAGGAAATCCGAGGCATGCCAAGAACTGTTCCTTGCATTCAAAGCCTATATAAACTTACAGCTCGGAAACACAGAATGGATGCAGAGAGAACACTTGTGAAGCAGAAAACAAACACTGTCTTAGGCGGAAGTTGTTCTGTTCCAGTAACTCCTTTAAGAATAAAAACAGTTTCAAAGTAAGTGCTTAAAAATTTAGTCTTCTGTTTCTGCCGTGGCAATGTGATATTTTATTGACAAGCCACTAATGTTTTCACAGAATTAAACCAGACTGGGTCTTGAGGAAAGATAACATGCGAGAAATCGTGGATCCTCTGCAAGCAATTCTGATGGTGATGGACACACTTGGTATTGCCTGCTACTGAAATGTAAATGATGTATAGGAAAATGTATTTGTACAGTATGTATGTGTTAGTAGTTGGCTAAATGATTTTAAAAGAAAGCAAATAAATGTCAAGCTGTCCTTGGAAATGTATTTTTAAATTGCAGTTAATATTTTGGTAATTCTTTGTATTGTATACAGTTTTGAAACCCTGTTTGGTACTACCAAAAGCCATTGTACAATAAAATCATTTAATTGGATTTTACTGGAAGTTTCACTAGTGTGGTAATACATTGTTACACAACTGTGGATATTACAAATAGTATGGGATTCTTCACTCTGAATAAATATTGTAGAATTCTATTAAAAACAGTTTTTTGTGTGGGACAGTAATGTCTTGTCTGATCTAGAGATGTATGGGTAAGAAGGGAGGCACAGGCACAGAATTTCAAAACTGGCTGTTTTGGGTGAGCTTGAGTCTACTTTCTAGTAAGGTCTGGAGGGATCATGTATCACAGCAGGAAAAAAATGATAATTCCTCTTTTTTTTTAAACATTGCAAGACTGTGATGGAACAACAAGATGTTTTAAGGGTGAATTTAGAAATTCTGACCTGATATTTTAAGGGAGGTGATTTGTGAGTTCGTTCTTCCTATCAAGTGCACAATACATACAGGTGTGCATCTCATCTGGCTGAAGAGATGGTGTTCATCACAGCATCCTTGTTAATTCTGTTCTCTTCTGTCTTGGAATTGTATTTTCTTAGAGACAGGCTAAGAAAATGCAAACTGTAAAATTATACACTCTTACTCCCAAATTTAAGCATCGTATCTCCAATGATGCCATTAATCAGTCACGTGATAATGCATTGTAAATGAGGTTAATTTTTTTTTTATTTTGTTTAAAAAAATACTTGAAAAAGGCTAGCTGTGTACAACAAAGCTCAACAGACAGATAATGATAGTGGCTATGTTCTTAATGTAAGAGACTCTAGAATTAATAGTATCTATAGAATGCAATTGACTGGTTTATCGGGGGGGTAGGCTGGAGGATGGAAGAATTGTCTAGTTCCTCTTATTTCAGCCAAGGTAAATAATCTGATAACAGAATGCCCTTTAAACTTGGAACTCAGGAGGTTGTGAGGGGAACAGTGTTCAATAAGTTTAAATTGTTCCATAAGCTTGTTGCCCAATTTCACTGTATAATGATAAATTCTGCCCTCTTTACTGATGGTAAACTATGTCAAATGGAAGTAAAATCCTGCAAGTCTAGTGTTATTGTGTTTGGAGAACTAAAAGAAATAAAAATTGTTTTTTTCAATGAATTAACTTGTTGCAAAATACCATAGACACGAAGGTATTTGCTGAATACCTTTGAAAATTCAGTTAATTATTTACAAAAGTAATACTTAGGGAGTTTTCACCGGTGGTAGAAACTGTTGATAGAGACAGTAAAGAAGATGAGATTTAAAAGCTGTTTTTTCATCCTAGTTACGATGTGTTCAAGCAAACTCTTTGCAGAAGGTAAATACACTGAATTCTATTGTTATTAAAATACATTGAATCTAGAATATGCAGTCTAGGTAACTTAAGTGCAGTATCCTTCATCTCTTTGATGAGTAAACACTGCTTTTTAAAGCACTGTTGTGATATGGCTGATGATCACAATTCAGCTGTTGCTGATTCCTACCTAAGCTTCAAAGCTGTAATATTGAAAGATTCAGACTTTAGTTTAGAAGAGGTTTCTTTTGAAATGTCTTTGAGCTGTTCTGAGGCACTTACATAAATTGAATTCTGTACTATTGAAACGTTTTGTATATCAAAGTGTCTGGGTGATTGAAGTGTTCTCCCTTTGCCACGAAGCAAAACAGTGGAAGTTAAATGAAACATGCAGAAGTTGATTTGGGGTGGTTCTACGTTTCCTATGCCTATTTTCAGCATTAAGATTCCTGGGTTTATATAGTTTACGTGCCACTCGAACTGCAACATATTTGTTGCAACTACCTCTCTTCACCAGACTTTTGTGCTTATGCAAAGCAGTTGAAATTACACTGATGCCCTTTAGAAAGACAAAAGGTATGTAGGTAGCAACCACGTCCGTCTTAATAATTACATGCAGATCTTAATTACCCTCAGGTTAGGTTTTTGTTTTGTTTTGTTTTGTTTTTTTATTTAGATGTGATGCTGTGGCTGTGTGAGGAAAGTAATTATTAAAAAAAATTATCTGGGCACTTTTTCTATTTATTAAAACCACTAAATTTGCAGAAAATTCTAATAAACGTAGTAAATCCTAGTGGCATTGAGTGAGGGAGCAATAGTTTTTTATTTTGGTTCTGTGTCAGGTGAATGCAGGAGTGGGAACTTGTGGGAAAATTCTACTCAATTACAATGAGATTTATAGGTGGCAAATCAGTTTTTAAAACTGAATTCTTTAGATTAGATTGCCTTGGAGAGAATTTTTGAGACCCAGAGGATAAAATTTTAAGAAATCCATTAAGTTTTGCTTTTTTCTTTTTTGTTTGTTAGTTTGTTTTCTTGGTGGTGGGAGGTTTTATTTGTTTGTTTTAGGTTTTGTTGTTGTTTGTTTGCTTTGGTTTCATTATTTTGGTTTTCTTAAGTATTTTAATGTCATATTCAGCACTATTCTTTTTAAAAGTTTTCTTCTGTTACTGGTTTGGGGGTTTTTTATTGCCATTCTGCTTGTTCTTTGCTTACTCTCCACTTCTTTATTTTCTTTTGACTGTTCTTAAATTCCCTTTCTTAAGCATGTTTAACTCCTGTATTTTCTCCTGGCAGTTTCTCCTACTTTTCTGATAACGTTTGCAGAATTGAGGAGCCAGGGCACAGCTAATCTCAACCCTGCTCTCACTGAATTTTACAGTAGGCATTGGTATGTTTGTGCAGCAAAGGATACTCATGCTTCTGGATGAAATAAAGAGTAAAATAAATGTGTCCTGCATCAGTTTTGCCCAGTTCACATTAGGAAATTTCAATCTAGAGCTGATATTCCTGTGAACCTAAAGAACAAAAGCTGATAAAACTGTAATATATCTTAATTTCATCAAGTCTTAAAAGGCTCCTCATTCTTGTAAGTATTCAGAATTTCATTCTCCTTGTTTGAAAGCCCGAATCAGTCAAACTGATGTGAATGTTTTTCCATTAATTTATTTAATATCTGGGCCGCGATATTTAGTGAGAAATATATTTATCTTTTTGCAGGTAAACCTTGTGACTTGCCACATATAGAAAATGGGAAGATTGCCCAGTACTATTACAGTTTCAAAAGTTATTATTTCCCTATGCGCAAAGACAAAAAGCTTTCCTATTCCTGTATGGTGGGTTATACAACTGAAACCGGGACTCAAGATGGGAAAATAACTTGTACAGCCAAAGGATGGTCTCCAGTGCCACGATGCTACAGTGAGTTAGCTTCATTCACCTCCTTGTGCTTCTAGCAGGAAAATTTTCTTGCTGGTTTTCCTGGAAAATACAGGAACAGAAGCCACATAGCAGAAGGGATAATTTGTAAAAGCTAGGACAAGGTGAAATCAAACCTTTATATATACAAACTACATAAGTTCATATATATTTTAAGGGCTTTTGACCATTTATGTTCTATAAGAACACCAAGAATGTTGCCCAGTTTCCTTAGTTTTGGAAAACTAATAAATAGTTTTCCCTTAGATGTATATCATTTCAAGGCTTTTCTACCTCTAGATTCCTTGATCGTATTCCATGTTGTTACCATTGGTTTGATGTATTGTTTGATGATTAAAGCAGAGTTTCTTCAATAGATCAAGAGAACAGCTTGGTATAGCTGGAAAGCCCTCCTTTTCATTACCAGAGAAGAAAGATGTTCCATTCTTTCTTTCTAACCAAGCTGTTGTCTTTCATTCAGGAAAATGCAGCAAGCCTCTTTTGGAAAATGGCTTTTTTTATGGCACAGAAATGTACTTCAAAATCCATGAGAAATTGCAATACAAATGTAATCCAGGCTATCATACTCCAAGTGGTGGTACTGAAGATACAGTACAGTGTCAGCCAGAAGGATGGTCCTTCCAGCCAAGCTGTACTGAAAAATTCGGTAGGATTCTGCATTTTTTCTCCTTTATAATCAGTTGTAGATGTATATGGTTCCACTGTCCTTGCTGTAGCTATAGGCTCAAAGTGCCTATGTCAGGTTGTCATTTGAGTACTCCTAAAGCAAGTTCTCAGCGGTACCTCTTGGAAAGAAGTTGTCAGATTTCATATGCTGCTAGTTTTGTGGATTTGTTTAGATACAATTATATGTGGATGGAATCAGTATAGATGAAATCACATTGTTTCAAATAAATCCATTGCCCTACAAACTTTCTTTCCGAATGATGACTGGAAAACTTGTGTAAACAACTGCATTTGTAGTTATTGTTTGCCAAGATTTTGCACAGGATATGACCCCTTTTAAAGCGTATCTCAGAAAAATTTTAGTTTAATTACTTGAAACGAAGAGAGCAAGTAATATTATGCATATGCTTTATTTATTTAAGAGTCATGTCAAGTGCCAAATTTACGTCACGGCCGCTACTTCACAGCCCAGAAGGAGCTTCGAGTGAACGAAACGCTGTTGTACCGGTGCGATGAGGGCTATCGTACGGCGGGAGGGAGCGCTACAGAGGCAGCAGTGTGTCTGACATATGGGTGGGCCCTTACTCCAAACTGCACCAGTATGTCATGGCCTGCAAAATAATTTGGTTTGGAATGTGATTTATTCTACAAGTTAACAAAAGCCTGCAAAGAGACTTTTGTTTTATCAACTGTTGGAGGTGGAAAGCCTTCCTCAGCTGTTTTTCACTGCTGTGTTTTCTTCGTAGGAATAACTTGCTCCTCTTTGAGTGCGGTAGCTCATGGAGGTTTCTATCCTGTGAAGAAAATCTATGAAGAGGGAGATGTAGTTCACTTCTTCTGTGACAAACATTATTCTGTCACAGAATTTGACTTAATTCAATGTTATTATTTCGGGTGGCATCCAGACCCTCCTGTGTGTGAAGGTACCTTATTTTTATAGTTTTACTATGGAAAACTAAAACCTTCTTTCATGAGATGCTTTATGAATCCAAAATAAAAATACAGGGTTTGTACCAGTTCCTAGCCTAAATAAAAACCAAGTGCTGGCCAAAGGGCAGGGAGCCAGGGTAGCAGGAAGGGAGGCAATGATAACTGGAATTACTTTTCAGTGGGCTCTAACAACCCAGCCTCTCACTGTTGTTTCTCTATGTTATATCCTGGAGAAGAAGGAATCAACAATTACAGGGAATTTATTAGCCCTGAAGCTCAGTTAGCTGTGTTCAGATTACATGAAGGTTTAACCAAGCATGCTTAATTCTGCCTTGTGGGATGGAAACATGCCTCTAAAGAGGCATTAAAAATAAAATTTATAACAAGTTTCTCCTTAGCTTGTGGTACTTTTCAGAGTTGTACAGCCTCACCAAACTTTACATGTTTTCAATAGAATTGACTAAAAGGTCATTTGTTCTGAAGACAGAAACACACCTCTAGCAATTGCTATCACTTCTGCAGTCATTGGAAGATAATGGAGTTTCAGAAAAGAAACTTTCAAATGAATAAAAGATCTAGTGAACCAGAGGAGATACAGAGCAGAAAGCAGTAGAAATCAACAGAGTAGCTTAGACCCCAGCCCTGTATTTATTCTGGTAACAGAGCAGAAACTTTTCATGAGCGAGTGCAGAGAAGGTGGGGATGCTCAGGAGGATGAAAACAAGGCCTAAATCTAGTTTTGAGGATACAGTAATTGCAAACTTAATTTGGGGATGGGAAATGGGCTATGATTATTGCTGCTTCTGTAGCATGACAATTAATACATAACCTGCTTTAAATATTATATGAATGGAGAGTAAGGGAAATCTCTATTTCCTGAAGTCCTTTAAAGAATGTTTTATTAAGTCTATGCAGAGAAATTACAAATTTCTTTATAGCAGTACAATAGCATAGTACCTCTATTTTATATTTGTTGAGTGTAGAATCACTTTTTTGGTCTGGTCTCCCATTTTATTAAGATAATGGGAGTAGGAAATTACTCTGGATCAGCCAAAAATGCCATTTGAGTGATAGGCTTGCGTGTTGTATAGTAAACTTGATTGTGTATATGGTTTTGGTGAGAAAAGAATATGCATTTTTTATTTTCAGATGTAAAAAATAAATGTCCTCCACCCCCACTTCCTCCTCATGGCCATATCACCACAGTTAGGGGAACATATCATAATGGAGACAAAGTTCGTATACAGTGCCAACGGACCTTTGAAATAAGAGGATCTGAGGAAATCCAGTGTGAAGAAGGAAAATGGACACCACCCCCTATTTGTATTGGTTAGTACTTTTGTGAAAGACTGACAACTGAACAGAAATGATTCTTCAAACAGTGCTTTAATTTTCTGGAGAGCCCTGGTTTCCATATCTGCAAAACTGTTTGTTTTCCTCTGTTAAAAGGCTCGAGAGGCAAAGTGCTGCGTATTTTGCAGTCAATCTGTGGTTCCCGGGTTACAGAGAAAGGATGAGCTAGGTGAATTCATCTGACATCTGTGACAACTTCCCTGGAAGATTTGGATTATTACATTTTACAAGGCATCAGTGTCTCTCTGTTTTTGTACTTGAAAATGAGTTGTTTCTGAGAAAACTGGTTCTATGCTTCTGCTCTGGTTACAGGAACTGTAGATAAACAGGAGTCTGAGGCCCCACCATTACTGAAGTCAGATGCAGCAATAAGGGCAAACAAAACATATGGCAATGAAGAAATGAGTAGGTGAACATTGCTTTTCTATTCAAAAAGGACTCTCCATGCTATTATAGGCATTTTATGACTACTGTCACTACTCTTTTGCTATAAGACAATTCTTTGCTCTTGAAAATGCTTGCATGTGCTACAAATGTCAGTGTAGCAGTCTCAGCAAATTAAACTGTTGCTTGTTTGTAATGATTATAAACTACAATAAGCCTCTTCTGTATTTGTAATTTTATTTCATACATTAGCATTTGCTTTCAATAATTTTTTACCCATTAATATTATTTGAACATGCAAATTTGATGTTCCTTTGATTAACAGTTCCAGTGAGGTTTCTTTTGTTCATTTTGAACCACACATGGGTGAAACATTTCAAGTAACAAATAGATGGATTCATCACAGAAAAAGAACTAATCTGTATTGAGTGTTAATCAGAAAGAGTAAACAGCAGACATAAATGAAACATGTAGAGGGAAATAAAATGCATGTCTGTAATTCAGTAACACAAATTTAGACTTTCTGAAAATGAAATTTGGAAGAGAAATTATATTGGTTTACATTTTACTTGTGTTCAGTTTTTTGGCTCAGTCTAGTATTGGTCTAATACTTTTACCAGTTTTAACACTGTTCTAATCTAACCAAGATCTAATTGCTTATCTCCCTACCTCATCTCAGAAATGCAGCAAGACTGTACCTCTCCACCTGTGATTAAAAATGGTGCTGTTCTTGGTCCATTATTGGCAAGTTACAAAAATGGTTCCTCAGTAGAATATGGTTGTCAGCGTTACCACTTTTTGGATGGACCTAGGACTGTTTACTGTGATCAAGGAAACTGGACAGAACAACCAAATTGCTTAGGTAAGTCTTGTAAGAAAAAGCAAGTTTTGTCACATGTAATGTAGAAATGGAAAACTGGAAAGAACCTCTAAATAATCTTTTCTTTACTGCCTTTTTTTTTTATTTGGGTTAATAAAGATTCCAGAAATAGAGGGATGAACCAAACCAAACATACCAATGTGTCTCATGCTAGGTGTCCTCTGTCCTGTTCTTAAAACCCCCTCATTAAAATAGATTCCCCTGTTTTCCTGAGTGAGGTTTTCTAGAACACAACTATCCCTGTTACCTAGGAGGATTCTCCAATTCCTTTCTTCCATATTCTCCATTCAGTTAATTTCTTTCTGTCTTTCAGTGCTGTTCAAAACAATGTCTAGAACTCCCACTAGAAATCTATCAATTGTAGCAGGAATACTGCTTCTGGTGATATACTACAGCTGTTTGTTTATCTTTCCTTCCCTCCTGTAATGAAATAATTGTTTTACTAACATGCTTTGTTAAATTGGCTCCCTTTTAAATTTGTAATCTACTGTGAAAATGAAAATGAAACAACCAGTTCAGTTTTAATTACTTATTTCTAAATGAATAAAATTTACCTTGTCTGGATTGAAAGGCCCAGGTAAGCATTTTTAATCTGAATACTCAAATTTAACAAATCCTGTGAAATAATGAAATCCTGTGAGCCTTATTTTTCACCTAAGCATCCAAATAACCACATCAACCCTTCCATGTTTTCTGAGATTTCTTTTCAGTCCTCAGCAGACCAGAAAGAGCACATGCTGTAGTTGGGTTCAGGAAAATATCCATCCCAGTTTATTTTTACGCTGCAGTCACCAGACTGCCTAATACCTGAGTTCTCCTTGCCTTTTCCTCAGCAAAGCATTAGTAAGGGCCTCTATCAGCCAGTGATTCTCATGGAACTTGTAGAAATGTATAAGTGACCCTCTGTCAGGCTTTATTGAAGTGGTTTCTGAAGTGAACAAGGTTAACCATCTAAGGGGAAGCTGATGTGATCCTGATGTGATCCTGGCACTAAGTTTTAAGAAACCTGTCAGAAAGTATCCAAAGCAATATTGACCTTGAATAACCTGAAAAAGCCCAAAGAAGAACACAAAATTTCCAAAATATTTTCGGAAGATCTCTAAATTCTTTTCATAGAGACAAAACAAATTAAAAAGCCAATAAAAGGGAATTGTCAAATCACTTCTTTAGGGTAGCAGTGTAAACTTACTGTGTTTCAGGTACTACTATCCTGAAAGGGCTTACCAAACCTGTCAGCCAAATGTGACAGGTTAATTTTGATGGACGGCTATTTTCATAGAAAAAGTCCTTTCAAGTTACAGTAAAGAAGCTCTTTTCTTTTTCAGTGGTAAACCTATGCTGCCATATCTTTACAAATGCATGTCAAATCCAAATTTTGTCATAAGCATGTGTTTTCTGTGATTTACTGTTCCCAGTTTAGACTTCCTTTTGCATGTTTTTTTTTTTTTTGCTACTTCAGTCCATTTCTTTAGATTTGTATTTTTTATGCATCAGTAGTTCTTTTCTTTTTCTTGCAAGATTTAGAAACATTTTAGAACTATTGACTTGGATTTCTTTCTTTGCTCCTACAAAATGGAGCTAAGAAATCACTTAAGGTTGTTTTTTTATTAAAATACACCTTTATTTCCTAGAACCATGCACTCTTAATGTAACTGATATGGACAGCAACAACATAGGGTTGAAATGGAGACAGGAAGAGTTAATTTTCCTGCATGGAGATCTCATAGAGTTTGAATGTAAACAGGGATATAATTTTCTCCACTCTACCATTCCGTCTCCTGGGAGGACACAGTGTGACCATGGCAGACTGAAATATCCAAAATGTATTATGCAAGGTAAAACAATAATTTTTTATTGCCTTCCTTTTTAATGAATCAATCTTAGCTCTGTTTAGAAACAATTTGCTTTGGCAGTGCAGGCCTACACTCTGTTGTAAATAATATATGTTTAGGCTTCAACAACACAGATATGCACAGATATCTTGCACAAGACAACTCTGTTGTTTAATACATCCAAGCATGGGAAAATGATACACATTCCTGTGATGGGCAAGGCTGTGGAAATAAGGGAGGACCTCTTCTCCAAGCCCAGAGGACTGAAAGCTCTGTAGAAAGACAGCTATAAAAAGAAATTCTTTGTGTGCCCCCAATTTCTGGTAAAGCTGCTGCTTTGTTAGTTTCTTATGATGAATGTTTCTCAATTGTTTTTCACGTTATTCCAGCTCCTACAGAAAAATGTGACTCTCCACCATCTATTGCAAATGGAGCTCTTACTCTCCCTCCACTGACCCAGTATGACAGTGGTTCTTCAGTTCAGTATAGTTGCTCTGACTATCATTTTTTGGAAGGATCAGAGACAATCTACTGTTCCGAAGGGCAGTGGACTTTGCCACCAGTTTGTATAGGTAGGTGTGAGAAGGTAAATCAGCTCCTATTTCTCTATATAATTTCCATGGATGGGGAACTACCTCTCTGGGAAAGCTGATCTGGTGTTTTACAACCCTCATTGTAAAAATGTCTTCCTTATGTCTAGGCTGAATTTAGTTTAAAACCATTACCTTCTGTCTTATTGCTACAGCCCCTACTAAAAAGTCTGTCTTTATCTCTCTTCCTTTAGGGCCATGTACTTTGTCAAAAAATGAAATGGAGAAAAATAATGTGCTGCTGCAAGGCTTCTATGCAAATCAGGTTTACTTTTACCACGGGGATTATGTTGGATTTTACTGTAAACAGAACCATTTTGGAGCAGAATCCGGTACAACTTTATTTCAAGTACAGTGTAAGAGAGGACAGCTGACATATCCGAGGTGTGTTGAAAGAGGAAAATAAGTCTGGACTCCAGGAAAGCCTATAGGAAAGGTAGGTACATGTTCTTTTTCTACTGTTAACCGCTGAATTAAGATGGCCTATATTTTCAAGATCACTATGGTCAGCTTTGAGAAATGAGTGTTCAGTGGCATTGCTGAGTCTGAGCTAAAGGGGGAGGGAAGTGAAAGTGCTTTGTGGTGTGAGGATTAGCAGTGCAGCAGAAGGATGCAAGATTGGCATACACGTGGAAAAGTTAGGATGAAGGACTTGTTTACAAGGCCTACAGTGCTCAACTTGGGGTTGCATCACAATCTGCAGGACTTGAGCCACGACAAGAAGACACTGAGCAAAGTAGTGCCCTTTGTGAGGATACTGATAGCATGAGTGATTTTGTGACTACAGAGTATGCCTAAATGGAGATTTAATTTCATGCCCTTCGAATGGATGTTTAGCTGTACTTTGACAGTGAGAAAGGAGAGGCTTGTTACTTTTTACATCTCAACAGCACCCCATGTCTCCTTTCACAGGTAAGGAGCCGCTAAAGGACAAGGCTTGAGGAACAATATAAACCAGAAAGTGTGAAAAAAAATTTTTAAGGGATCTATAAAACCATTTAAAACATAATAATATGCAAATTTTACTGAGTGGTTAAAATATTAAGAATGATAATTAAGAATATTAAAATATCCAATCCAACTACTTTGTATGATTTCCTATGACACTTGTATATGGGTATCCTTAAGGCTCTGCCTGTGAATATGTGTGACTGAAGCTATGAAGAAAATTCGGGAATGTGGACAATGTTTGCCTTGCACCCATTTTAGTTGGTTTTAATAAAAAAGCCACTATATTTCTTCTGTATTTTATGTCTAAACTCCATCTGTCTGTGAAATCAGTGCATGTATGGTGTTCTGTATGGGTTTCCAAGGTTTTACAAGTGTTACATGAATAAATAAAACAAAAAAAGAAATTAAAGCATTTGAGAAATAGATAAATTCTGCTTATTTAATGAAAACCCTCTATAGATTGTAATTTCTGTTTTCCAGTTAAGTTCTCATTTCTGTGGTACATAACTAAGGAATCTGACTTTGGTCTTGGTATAAATCCATGGATCAGGGCAATTCCTGTAACAGTCCAAGTTTTGAGTGTTGGATGTGCTGCTTCAGACTGGCCTGTTTTAACCAAGGTAAGCTTGTGTCCCAGGGAAGTTTCAACAACTTACATTGGCTTTAAAATATTTCATGTAATGAAGTTGGTGGGCCTGATGCCCAGACTCCTTTCCTTTGAGAAGCTCTGGATGAAGCATAAGAATATTTGCTAAATGTAAAAATACCCTTCTCTTTAAAGAGCAAACTGGGGAAAAGGGAGGGAGAGGGATTCAAAGTCAGTTGCTGGAACATCTTTTCGAAGCAGAATTCGTTTACCCCCACCTGCCACTTCCTCTGAATAGGCTGGATGTGTGTCTGTTAGCAGAGGGCAGGATGAGGCAGACTGCAGGCATGAAGACAGCATCTTGTTACTGAAGTTTGAGAATGCTTCAAGTACTTGAGCTTCATGCAGGGCTGACGTCACTAAATCACCCCTTTTAGCGACACACCACATTTTTTGTATTTATTGTTTTAATGTTAATATAGCAGTACAATATCTTCTTGTGACCCTTGATGTCCCTGCAAGTGTCACTAGGTCAGCTTCAACTTTCCTAACGTTATCCATACATGCCAAGTCAATGCCATGGACAGCTCAGCTTACAGCCTGGTTTTGCCTCAAGCTCCTGTACATCGATTTCTTTTCTGCTTCAGAGATCTATGTGAAGTCCCGGATTCATCAAGCCAGTCCTGGCAGATGTGTTTTTCTTCCTGAAGACCAAACTGGAATATTCTTGTGCTTGTAAGATTCTGTCCTTCAAGACTGTAAGCTTCTCTGGATTTCTCTATGACTCCCAAGCAATCCCACCTACTAGTCTCCTAAAACAGTCAAAATCATGCTTTCCTAGGGTGCCTGATTTGTACTGCACTTGCTTTCCTCTCTCCCCTCTAAATCATGAACTCCATTAGTCCACAGTTACCCCAGCAAGGCTGCTGCTGCTTTCCACAAGTACTTTGTCCTTGTTTGTGAACAGCAGATGGAGCTGTGGGCTCCACTT